TGCTGCTTGGAGTCATGTGGGAAAGAAAGGTCTTGAGGTTCTTGCTAAATAGATTTTCAGGCAGAATGCTGAAATTGCTACTTGTTTTTTTCTAATAATTTTATTATTTCTACAATAAAATATGAGAAGTGAGGAAAAAATTAAGATGGAACTCTTCATTTTTTTTTTTTTAGAACTTATAGGACATGTTAAGAAGGCACAATTTGTTGCATTTGAAAATAAAAGCCCCCCCCACCCCCATCTCTTTCAGCAAAATATTATCAAAGTAAGAAATGGCTTCAGAGCAAAGGAACTATTGATATGGGTCTGGTTGGGTTTCATAAATATTATAGACGAGTGGCTGCCACAAACCTTTGATTCTGTCCTCCCTTTTTTGAATGGCTGTGTTGAATGCAATTACTCTATCCCTGTGTCACTGTTGGATATTGGGTTTATAGGCAAGGCAGATAACTTGCATCTTCATTTCACGGTCTTCCGATCAAGAGGAACCATCCTTAAGGAACTACATCAAGGAGCCTCATCCCGATTTATATAAGGAGATGCTGGCCTTTGGACTAACACTGAAATGGGATGAGACTTTTGGGAACCTTGGAGGCGGTAGGCATATTTCGCATGCAGGATGAATGTAAATGATTGGTGGGCAGAGGACAAACTGGAAAGAAGGACAAACAAAGGAAGACTGAAGATGGCTACATATTTGTTGCTATTCCTCCCCCCAGTAGGTGAAGTCTAATTTTCTTTCCCTTGAATCTGGCTGGTCTTCATGACACATTTGACCAATAGGACGTGGCAGAAGTGATGTTCTGAATTTCTGAGGCTAGGTCATAAGAGGCTTGGAGCTTTCACCCAGGCCTCATAGAGCACTCACTCTTAGAGTTCTGACTGCCATGCAAGATGTCTGACAATGGTAAGGCTGCCATGTTTTGAGGATGCTCAAGCTAGCCATGTAGAGAGGCTGTGTATGAGAGAGAGGGGTTTGGGTGGCTGGATAGCTTCAGGTGCTCCAGCACTGAAGTACTGGGACTATCTCACCTGAGACCCCAGATATCATGGAGCATAGAAGAGCTATTCTCTTCTCACCTATCTCAATTCCTGACTCACAGATTAATAAGCAAAATAAATTATTGTTTTTGTTTCAAGCCACTAAATTTGGGAGTGTTTATTATTTATCAATAAATAATTCAATCATCCCTCTTCCCTCTTAGGGACCTTGTTGCCATATCCTGGGATTCAGGATCAGACTTGGTTTGATCCTACTCCAGTTCATCAGAAATGTTATTTTGTTAAACCTCACTGGATGGTAGAGTTATAGTCTCACCTCTCCTTCTATTAAAGGGGGTCTCTTTAGTCCATTTGCAAATCAGTAGATGTAAAGTGATACAACGGAAATTAAGCTGACTGAACCCACACTTTAGTATCTCTGAACTTCATCTCAGCCCAAAGAAGATTCTAGCAATGCCAAGGGTAAAGAGAAGTTCCTGCCCAAATAAAATGTCTTGTTATACAAATATATTTAATGAACACATGAATTACTGAAGCAATTTTTAAACAATAGACAATGCATAATAAATATTTGGGGCTGTAATAAACATTAAAGCCACACAACAGTTTTTAGACTTCCCAGGGCCACACACTCGTTCAAAGCCTGAAGATGTTTGAGAGTAGATCTGGAACCTTAAATTTCTAGGTAACATCAGTATTTCTAGGCGACGTTAGTATTTTCTTCTGAAATAGCCCCAAGCATAGGCTATTTCAGAAGAAACATGCAGAGTGGCATTTTAAGAGGAAGGAACCAGGAAGGGTGTTTCTGCAATGTTGAGAAAAACTGATACATAGATCCAGTTATGAGTTACTCAGTGGGCCATAAGGGTAAAGCTAATTGATATTTGGGGTGCCTTAGAATGCATGTGTGAGGATAAGGCCTGAAAAATATGTATTTGTACTATGCCTCCCTCCCCAGATAATTCCTAAGCATATGAAAGTTTGAGAACCACTGATATGAGAAAAGAGAAACATGAGTCTTTTTCCTTCTCTCCATTCACCCCCTAGCCTTCCAAATGCTATTTGAGACATTTCACTCTGTTTATGTCAACAACAAAATCAAATTCAAAGAGAGAATCGGAAACAGCGGAACAAAGCCTGGGTATAGTGACAATGAGAAGGCAATGATGACTATCCACTAATGGGTTTCAAGACTAAAATCCCTGTATTATCCAAACGATAGTTTTGTCTTCTGTACCTCAAGACCTAGGCACATTTCTCTCATTTCTGTTGTACCTGGCATTACTTCAGTTAGGGTTTTATTTTCATACCATGAACTCCCATTTGACATCTTGAAATATAGCTCTGTGACTCATGTATTATTTCACCCAAAGGTTTCTATGAAATATGCATTTTCACTTAATATTAATATTGCTGCATTCAGAGCTCCAATGAATCCAATTTGGCAGGCATTTTATTTCAATACTACCATATGGAGCAATTTCCTCTTCAAGACATTTCACTCTGTGGCTGTCAAAAAAAGACCCATTTAGAACAAAATCAAAATCAAGAGGGAATCAGCAATAACTTTATTGGGAAAAAGTGATTGTGTTTGTAGTGGGAACAAGAAGGCCAGATGGCCATCCATTTATGGATTCCAAGAAAAAAAGACTAAAAAGCTTTGAATAATATGAATAATCAAGTCCATTTTCACCTTTTAAGATTTCCTATGGACTACTGATAATTTATACACTGTGAAATAATGTTTCTTAACTAGAAAATGTTCCCAATAACAAAATAGAGTCAACCAAAGTTCAGTGACAAGAGAAGACCATTTGACTTTGAAGAATACGTTAATGTTTAAAACTAGAAGGGAAGGCCAGGCATGGTGGCTTATACCTGTAATCCCAGCACTTTGGGAGGCCGAGGTGGGTGGATCACCTGTGGTCAGGAGTTCGAGACCAACCTGGCCAACATGGCAAAACCCTGCCTCCACTAAAAATACAAAAATCAGTCAGGTGCAGTGGCCCATGCCTGTAATCCCAGCTACTTGGGAGGCTGAGGCAAAAGAATCACTTGAACCCAGGAGGCAGAGGTTGCAGTGAACTGAGATTGTGCCACTGCACTCCAGCCTTGAGACTCCGTCTTAACAACAGAATGAGACTCTGTCTCAAAAACAAAAAAACAACCAAACAAAAAAACGAGATAAAACTAGGAGGGGAGGCTGAGGATGTCTCATGTAATAGAATTAGGAAGAAATTCTTCTGCCATTTTTTTCTTTAAAATCATACTTAAGCTATTTTCTTAAAAAAAGTGTAAACCTTTCTATGATTATATTTGCAAATCCAGTATTGAAAATGTTGTGTGTTTCCTTCCTTCTGCAATTGGGGTAGAGTGACACTGGATAGCAGCGAGGCCTTGAGAATAGCCACATGGTCCCCACTGAAGGCTGTCATTCTAGGCATGTTTATTTGACATGCAACTGTGCTATTTTTTCTTTTAATATCTATTTTAAAAGTTGAACCTGTGTTACTGACATGATTTAAAATGTTATACCTGTATATTAAGCATGTAAAGAGACATCCAAGTAAAACCCGCTAATTTGTCACTAATACATAACTCATCACTTACAAATCAACTTTGAGTGGGAAGTTTTTTAGTGACTCACTCTCCTTCCCTTATGTTGAAGTCAAAAGCCTGATTCAGGCTGAGTACAGTGCTCCAGAATATCTGCAAGCTGCCTGGGCATTTACCTCCCTGTGCTGTTTTCTTCTATAGCCAGTGTGCCATGAGCTCTTAGCAAATCAGATTATTCATCTCCAACTGGTCCCAACCAATGAGATTAAATTATTATCACTGATATTTCCATGTGTTATTTATTGATTTATTTATTTATTTTGCCTTTTCCCCTATAAATAGCTGGGGGCAGGGGAGCGACAAGAATATATATATATATTCAGTAATTGATGGTTTATTTATAGTTAAAATGTTTCAAAAGGAGCATCTTTCTATATCTGTGGACTATTCCTGATACAATTGGGTGTCTCAAATATAGCAGGGAGGATTATATATTAAATATTTCTCAGGGGTTTTCTTTCTTCCTTTTTTTTCTTTTTTTTGTTTTTTGCTTTTTATTTTAATTTAAATCAGTTTTATTTAAGAATTTCCAACATTGACAACTCTTATAAAAAGCATCCAAGCGCAGGACACAGAACTGCAGCAAACAGCATTCTTATGGGTAGCTAACAGACATTAGAACTTCCACCCTTCTTTGAGACACCTGAGCTCACTGGTGAACTCTGCTTCCAAGTCCTCCTGCAAAGCACACCACAAGCTCAGTCCATGTTCTCAGCCCATCAGCTTCCGTTCACATGACCACACTTACATATCAGTAACAGGAGAGAACACACACCATGCAGCATTCACAGCAGTTGACAAAGGGTAGGGAGAGTACAAGTATCGTTTCACTTAACACATTCAACTAATGTGGGTTATCTAAGAACAAAAACTCACTTAAAGTCTTCCAATAGATGTGGATGTCCTTTGAATGCAAAAAACATTCGTACGTTATTTGCTATCATTGCTCTCTGCACACTCTCTCACCAAAGCCACAGGATTGAGAGACACATCTCGCCAAGTTAAAAAATATCCACGGGCCGGGCGCGCGGTGGCTCACGCCTGTAATCCCAGCACTTTGGGAGGCCGAGGCGGGTGGATCAAGAGGTCAAGAGATCGAGACCATCCTGGTCAACATGGTGAAACCCCGTCTCTACTAAAACTACAAAAAATTAGCTGGGCATGGTGGCGCGTGCCTGTAATCCCAGCTACTCAGGAGGCTGAGGCAGGAGAATCGCCTGAACCCAGGAGGCGGAGGTTGCGGTGAGCTGAGATCGCGCCATTGCACTCCAGCCTGGGTAACAAGAGTGAAACTCTGTCTCAAAAAAAAAAAAAAAAAAAATCCATTATGCACCACCAAGTCTCTGCACGCACTCTCCTTTCCTCGCTCATACTAGCCTTTCATGCCTCGGCATCACCACCAATACCACACAAGGTTTCAAAAGTTCAAACAGCCTTCTGGTTCCATATCACAGCCTTGCGTTCATAGCGCTGATACGGCTCCATGAAATAAAGAGTAGCGGATAAAAATGGGACACCCACCGTCAGAGACGCGGCCTGTGATGCGTGATGACGAATTCTTGAACGAGAAAGCGTGTAGACAGAAGTATTCCTATGGCAGAATATTTACAGCACTGCTTTCAATGAAGTGCTTCTTCCATAAACATTTGAAATGAGATGAACTGCAGAGATTAAATGAAGGCTTCACATTGTACTTTTGCACACGAGGGGAGACAAGTGTTAAAAAACAAAGCAAAAGAACCAAACGCTGTGACACCATGAGCTCCCAAAAGGAGACTTTCTTAAGGAAGAAAATCCATATGGTGGGGTTCAAATTAAAACAAGGAGTAACGAATGTAGTTCTAATCAATGGTTTCCATTTTGAACATGCAAAGAATTCACTTGACAAGTCCAGGGATAACATATTACAGGAGAAACGTTTTGATATCAATTGTAGTGTGTTGGTTTACCAATCAGGCAAACAGCAGTTCACTTTCAACCACTCAATATTTCAACCTTTCATGTAACAAAACTTAGAAAATTCCTTTAGCTCTTCCTTTTTCTAAAGAAAAATGTCAAAAATACTGCTGAATATACTCCACACTGAACAAACCAATTTTGAAAATTCTTAGTACGTATGTATTTTACAATATACTTACCTTGAGTTTAGAAAAATCTGAATTCCCACCATTCTATACCAACCAACCACAAACTGTCTACATTCCCCAGCCAGAAGACTTAGAATCCATGCTCGAGCCAAAGCCTCCATTAAAACCACTGCCCGACCCTGCATTTGATGCCGATCCCCAACCAATTGCTGCACCAGAATTAGAACCACTATAAGAGTTATTTCCAGAACCGAAGGCCTGGTTTGGCTCCCTCTGCATGTTGCCTTGGCTTTGGTTATTACCCGATGGGCCTGACTGGTTCTGCTGGCTGGCTAACATGCCCATCATACCCCAACTGCTCTGTAGCGCTGCCTGGGCTGCAGCCATCATGGCTGGATTAATGCTGAACGCGCCAAAGTTCATCCCACCCATATTACTACCTTGATTGTTTTCCAAACCAGCTCCACTCCCTCTACTATTACCAAATCCACCCTGATTCCCAAAGCCACCTGGATTACCACCAAATCTTCCACTTCTTTCTGTCTATTGCTATTGTGCTTAGGGTTGGCATTGGATATATGAACGCTGATTCCTTTATTGATCAAGTCCTCTCCACAAAGAGATTGCGCAATCTGATCATCTGCAAATGTAACAAAGGCAAAGGCCCTGAACGGCTTGGGGATGAAGACATCCATCACCTCCCCGTACTGGGAGAACTGCCGCAGCTCATCCTCAGTCATGTCCTCTGTACAGTGCCCCACAAACATTTTTCTGCTTCTCAAAGGCTCATCTGCACTTTGCTTAGAATTAGGAAGTTTACAGTCACACCACCGTCCATCTATCATATGCCGCTGTGACATTACTTTCACCTGTGTTTCATATTCCGTAAAACGAACAAATCCAAACCCCTTTGAATGACCAGTCTTAAGATCTTTCTTGACCTGCACCATAAGAACTTCTCCAAAGGTACTAAAATAGTCTTTCAGTCCTTGTTCAGTTGTTTTCCATGGGAGACCCAACACTATTAAATCAGATGTTTTCTGGACTGCTCTTTTCACTTTCACTGCTGATGAAGCATCTGTCTCATCCATTTTTCTTTTGTTATCTTTGGGATAGTTGACAACATACACCAGATTTCCCCAGCCAGCATCGGGGGCATGCAGAATTCCTTCCACCAGCCGGACACCTCTCATACATTGAGACACTGGATTCCTGTAGCGAAGCCCACAAGCCCCTGGAAACTGGGCTGTAACCGTGGACAGCAGCACAGTCCCATCATCTTCCAATGGTATTTCAATGGGCTCATCGTTCTCATCTTCGGTTACCCGAATATATTCAGACATCTTTCACTTTTCCGCTAGGCCGCTGCTGGGAAGCCCGATAGGGACAGCGAGGCAGCGACAGACACAAGCGCAGCCCAGCGACCGTTTCGCTCCCACAAAATCTGTTTTTGTTTTTGAGACAGGTCTCACTATGTCACCCGGGCTGGAATGCAGTGGTGTGATCCTGGATCACTGCAGTCTCGACTTCCTGGGTTCCAATGATCCTCTCATCTCAGCCTCCTGAGTAGCTGCGACCACAGGCACATGCCAGCACACCGGCTAATTTTTGTATTTTTGGTAGAGATGGGGTTTTCCCATGTTTTCCAGGTTGGTCTTGAACTCCTGAGTTCAAGCAATCTGCCTACCTCGGCCTCCCAAAGTGCTGGGATTGCAGATATGAGCCACTGCACATGGCCTAGGGTTTTCTCAAAAGTCCATGTCAATTCTGGTCTCCTTTGGATATAGGATTTAGCAAAAGAGATCCTTAGGACCAACTTTTAAAAGACAACTTGAAATAATTATGCATATAATTAGATTGTTATATGCTCTTGAGTTGTATTCACAAAAATATATATAGGAGTTAATTTTCTTCATAGAAATGTACTGGTGGGAAAACAAGAATCAGACATGCTAATAATGAACGATACCAAGGGCCTCATAATATTTTTATAAGATTGTTTTCAGGTGTTGAAGAGCTTGAGAAATTAGTTATCTCTTGCCAGCCAAATTTAATTCTCCTCAATAGTGATAATCCAATCATTGTAGTTTACAGTCTGAGTAGACAATGCAGTTCAATTACATGTGTAAACTGTGTTAAAGGACTGATAACTAGAATTGCATATAGATTAAAACAGTACTTACAATGATGATGGTTTTGTTCAAAAGATTTTAAAAACTCTTTTGGAATTGAACGCCTCCATGCATTCTCAGTATCTCGATCATGGCACCTTAAAAATGGGTTCGATCATCAGAAATATAAAAATATCATTTGGAATCTAGACTTATGAATAAGATACAGATTAAAACTAAGTAATATCAACAGGACTATGGCAGATTTCATTTCTTAAAGATGGCCACATCCTCATATCACATCTCCTACGTTCCCTCTACTTGTGGCTAGGCAGATCTTTGTGACTGTGTCAATCAACCAAGAATGGAGGAAGTGACACTTTGAGACTTATGTGGCTGGGTCATAGATGCCACACACTTCTGTCTCATTCTCTTGAGATGCTTGTTCCTGGAATCCAGCCACTGTGCTGCAAGGAAACTAACCAGGACAGTTCATGCCTCGGTGTCCCAGCTGACAGCCTTTGTCAAGCCCCAGACAGGTAAGTGAGCCTTCAGATGATTTCACAGTCTACCTGTGGAGTAATTTCCAGTCTGTGAGTTATTTCAGTTGATGCTGCATTGAGCAGAGATGAGGTGTCTCTGTCAAGCTCTGCCCAATTGCAGATCCATGAGTAAAATAAATGACTATTGGTTTTTTAAGCCACTAAGTGTAAGGTGATTTGTTACTCAGAAATAGAGAACTGGAACAGATATTGGTACCTGGAGATGGGGTGCTGTCAAAACAAAAAACCTAAGACATGTGGCATTGGCTTTGGGACTGGATAGTAGGCAAGGTTGGAAGGGCCTCGAGGAGATAAAGTGTTAGCAGAGGCTTAAAGGACCTTGAGGTGGCTGTCAGTGAGGACTGAAGAGAAAGTCAGGAAGTCAGAAAGACTTAAAGTGATATTAAAAAATTTTTTTTTGTTTACTGGAGTGCAGTGGTACAACCACGGTTCACTGTAGCCTTGGCCTCCCAGGCTTAAGCAAGTAGCTGAGACTATAGGCACACGTCACCAGGACCAGCTAATTATAATAATATTTTTTTTTTTCTTTTTTTTTGTAGAGATGGGATCTCACCATTGTCAAGGCTGATCTTGAACTCTTGGGCTCAAGCCATCCTCATGTAGATCTTTAAATGCCCCATTGTTTAGCAGGGACGATCTGGCCATAAGGTGGTATTTTATATACCTTTCCAGATAGACAGAAGTCCTTCTAAGGATCTTAAGGAAATGCCTTACAGATCTTCCCTGCTAAACAATGGGGAACTTAAAGATCTTGAGGGCCGGGCGCGGTGGCTCAAGCCTGTAATCCCAGCACTTTGGGAGGCCGAGGCGGGTGGATCACGAGGTCAAGAGATCGAGACCATCCTGGTCAACATGGTGAAACCCCGTCTCTACTAAAAATACAAAAAATTAGCTGGGCATGGTGGTGCGTGCCTGTAATCCCAGCTACTCAGGAGGCTGAGGCAGGAGAATTGCCTGAACCCAGGAGGCGGAGGTTGCGGTGAGCCGAGATCGCGCCATTGCACTCCAGCCTGGGTAACAAGAGCGAGACTCCGTCTCAAAAAAAAAAAAAAAAAAAGATCTTGAAAGAGTTGTCCCATAGCAGTCTCATAGATATTTCTAGGTAAAGTAGGGCTTCGCTTGAAGAAATTTGTGGGTATGGCTTTTTTCTAATAGAGTGGATTGGAGGTTAATACACACAAAGCTCACAAGGTTTAAAGAAAAATTAGATTGCCTGGACTGAAAGGAACAAAGACAGTATAAGAAGAAAAGAGTTCATTGGGCCCCCAAACTTCTACAGGCAGAAAGTAGTCTAATACAATGTATTAGTTGCAAACATGAGCTACATTTTATCAAAAGGAAGAAATCCCAGAGCATGAACATCTTTTTGAGCAGTAGGGTTTACAGTGGTTATCCTTGTCCTGTTCCTCTGTTGTCTGTTGGGTGTGTGTCAAGCATGTAACTTCTCTCTTTGGTTCACAACTCTTCAGGATGCTAGTGAAGGAACTGAATGCAGGAGCTGTTCCCAAGGAGTCTCATCCAGATTCAGACCTAATTGACATGAAGAGATCCTGGACTGTGTGTTAATGCCATAATGGTAAGAGACTTAGGGCTCTTGGAAGAGAGCGTTGAATATATTTTGTATGTAGGAGAGATGTGAACTCTTGTGGCCAGAAAGGAGACTGTGGCAGACAGTATTATCCAAAGATGGCTACCACAACATGTGTTATCCCACGTGTTCTTAGAATGTGACATTGTTATTCCCTCACCAACTCGTGGAGTCTCTGCTCTGTTCCTCTGAACCTGGATAGAACTCTGTGACTGTGTTGGCCAATAGATTACGAAGAAAATAATGCTTTTTGACTTCTAAAGATAGGTCATAAAAATGCCACCTACAATTGTCTTGCTCTCTTGGGATGCTTTTTCTTGGAGCCCAGCTTCCAGGCCTTGAGGAATCCAAGCAGCTATGTGCACAGGCTCCAGCTAAGGTTCCAGCTGACAGCCAGCATCAATCACCAGTATATGAGTGAGTCTTCAGATAATTCTGGTCTCTGACCATCAAGTTACCTTTAGCCTTTGTGTCGCCCTGGGGATGCCATGCAGAACAGAGAAAAGCTGCCCCTGCTATGCCATGCACCAAGTGCTGATTCATGAGCGAAACAGATGATTGTCAGTTTTTCAAAGCCACTTAGTTTGGGTGGTTTGTGGTGCAGCAATAGAAATCTGGGACAAGGAGAATGGAAAACAAATTGTGGTATACACATACACTAGAACTCGGCCATAGAAAGGAATGAAGTATTGGTAAATGCAACACATGATGAATCTGAAGATCCTATGCTTAGCAAAAGAAGCTGGGAACACAGTACACATGGTATGTTTCCATTTATTTGAAGTTCTAGAACAAGCAAAATTAATCTAAATGAACACATTGACCCATGATTGCCTTTGGGTACAAATGACAAGAAATAATACAAGGAAACATTCTTGGTAGATGAAAATGGTCTATATAGAGGTGTGGGTTACAAAGGTGCATCCATTTATTAAATTTGTGCAGGCAACATCTGTGCATTTCAATGTAAGGTATATAAAAGGATACAAAATTTACCTTAAAACTTTTAAAAAGTTATAAAAATTAAGTGGGCATGGGGAGTACATGAAGCTATAGATCATATAAGAATGACAAAATGTTAGTTAGCTACTCAAGCTGGATGAGTAGTACATGAAAGTGTATTATTCTATTCTGTTTATTTTGTAGATGTTTAAAATTTCCCATAATAAAAAGTTTAAAAAGAAAAAAGTACTGATTTTTGTCAAAAATGAGTTTTGACTATAAATCATTGGGGTGTTTTTCTTACATGACTGCTAGATGGGCTCTGAAAATAATACCAAAAGCATGTGTTTCCAAAATGTTTTGAATTAGGCAGTATTGTTTAATTAGATGACTAGCATACCATGGTTTTTCAGACCACCAAAGTACAACACTCATTGTTATGTACAAATATCTGTTTCTAAAATCAGTTTTATTATTTGATATGTTTCAGGCTTTTACTTTAAGTAGCACATACATTTTTCATTATTTATTTAGCAGTTACTGTTCATCCAACATTTGTGAAACATCAGTGGTAGAAACTAGTTTCAAAAACAAAAACATGACACTAAAACAAAAAACAAAGAAAAAGAACTAGTTTCCAGTAATGATTTAATTGGCAGAGGAATAACAGCAACTAGAATAAGCATAACATTCATTATGGTGGCTGTTTACATTCTATTTATTTATTTATTTGAAATATCTTCTAATTATTTTATAATAGTCCTTATTAATGAATGGTAGGAATTTTGGAGTCTTCTATGCCATCATCCCACTGGGCTTAGTACTACCTAAATGATTTTTTAAATGTTCATCTACATAACATATATTGGTTAAACTATATGCCATCAGCATAGGACAAATCCCATTTAGCTAGACTCCAACCGATTTGAAATTTGATGAACTCTAAATCCATTCCTTTCATTCGGGTTTTTCTTCTGAGCTTTGGACCTGCATATGCAACAATCTACTGGAAATCTTTGGGATATCACCACAGGCAAACTAATTCAGTATCTCTGCCTTCAGAGAGGCTCACCCTATTCTTCCTCTCTTAGTAGACAGTGACATCCTCTATCCAATGGCCCAAGCCAGAAACACTATCTTCCTAGACATCTCCCTTTCTGTAATCCCCCACATCTAGTCAGTCACCAAGAGTCTTCTTATTTGTTGTTGTTGTTGAGATAGAGTCTTGTTCTGT